CCCCCCCCCCAAAAAAAAAATAAAAAAAAAAGAAACACAACACCCCCCCCCCCTCCCCCCCCGCAGATTCGTGCTGGTGAGCAACCGAGGGCACAACAGTATCGCCGTGTTCGCCATCAAGCAGACCACCCGCTGCGGGGAGGCGGGCTACCTGAGGGTGGTGAACTACTGCCACACCAAGGGCAAGACCCCGAGACACTTCCAGTTCGACCCCAGCGGCGAGTTCCTGCTGAGCGCCAACCAGGACACAGACAGCGTCACCGTATTCAGGTAGACAACGTGGCTGTTTTTCGTGTGTTTTTTGTTCGGGTTTGTCGGAGATTTTCGATCCACCATATTCTGCGATTTGGTTTTTGTGTGAGTTGTCTTCGGAGATTTTTTGTGGGGGGGGTTCCACGGTGGGGTATGCGAAGGGCGGGGGCGGCCTCGGCCGGCTGAGTGCCAACCAGGATAACACGGACAGTGCCGCAATATTCTTGTGCCACTTTTTTTTTTTGTGTGCTTTCGGAGATTTTTGTCGAGGGAGTTTCCGTGGTGAGACCGACCACTAAAAAATACCCGTTCCAGATTTTATACTGATTAGTATCCGTCGGAGATAATACCCCAGTTGAGTTCTTTTATTGCCCACCAACCACAAGCAATCCTTCTTCAATCGTCCGTGTTCTTTACCCCCACGGCGCTTCTTCAATGAAAACAAATCAAAACCCTTTGCTCACGCTTTTTCTATAACTATATTTTTCCAGGTTCGACAACGAGACCGGCAAGCTCACCTTCACGGGCGACGTCAACGACGTCCCCAGCCCCAACTTCGTGTGCGTGTTCCAGCCACACCGGAACGGGAGGATGAGGCACGTGGCCAAGCTCTGACTAGAGGGCACGGGCGGGCAAGCAGGCAGGCAGGCAGGCAGGCAGACAGGCAGACAGGCAGGCAGGCAGGCAGGCAGGCAGGCAGGCAGGCAGGCAGGCGACTGGCGAAATACGCCATTCGGAACAAACAACAATCAATTGCTATTGAGCGCGGATGGGTGCATACGACAGGAGGATCGTCCGCGATGCTGTTGCTAGCAGCAGATAGATCTAGGCTCTGCGACTGATAGTCATTGGCGGCGGGATGGACTTGAAGTCTTGGTTTTCCTGCCCGCTGTGATTATTGTTCTCTACACATCGCCCTTGAGGAATTTTCTAGGTGTCCACTGTTTTTTTGTTTTTTAGAAAGGTGTACCCCCGTTTGGGGGGCAGTTGGCTTGTGACCACGAGAGGAAGGCGTCCGCGTCAGTTGTACTATTATAGTACGGACATTAGAAGGTACTGAGCGGAGACCAGGACGGTTTTTTAATGTGAAGGAAAGAATAACACGAAGGTTGGCAGGGGGGGGGGGGGGGGGGGGACGCCTACTATGCCGACGATGACACACTTTAAAGAAATTTGAAAGGCGTCTCGAGGCATGGTGCGAGGGTGGTGTGAGACGGACGGCGTGTCGCACTTGTGCGGAGGCAGTGCTCGCGAGATTCAAAGAGCCAGCGCGACGACCGACCGTAAAAATTGAGATCGCGCGTCGTGAATTTATCTTGTATTTTATCGCACATTTTCCTTCGTTTTCCGTCCATATTAGAATAGGCGACACTTTTCTCGTGTGTTTTTGGCTGTGTGCGCAGGGGGTTATGGGCGGCGGGGTGGTTGCTGGCATGATAGTTGCATCTCTCTTCGAGAGGTACTAAATAGCAGGAGCTCTTGCCTACTTTTTGTGCCTTATGTTGGATTTTTGTTACCGTTTGGAAACGTCATCGGTATGCATACCTCGCGGCTTTGGCTAATGCCCCCTCCCTCGCCCGAAGTAGGACGAGGTGATCGAAGATCGAGGCCGAGATGCCGCGGCGTCTCAGGTGCCTCGCTGCGCCACGCCGTTCACACGGCTGCTGCTGTTTTGTTTTGAGGGATCGAAACGGGACTTTCTTGCATTTGTGTGTGTATGCTGTCGCTGTGTTGGTGGCGTTCGCCGTGGCAAAAAATGGCAGTTGCTTTGTTGTTCATCCGGAAGAGGGTTGGAACCACTGCGCGTGCACGGCATACATGCGTTGTGGCGCAGAAGGAAGGTTGGTCGCCCCACGGGGCTACTGTTGCCAATATAGTCTTGGTCCCCCTTTCGCCCGTTGTGCTAGTTAGGGGAAGAGAAGGCCAGTTAACCGGTGTTGTGGGGTGGTGGTGGTGGTGGTGCGTGTTTTTTTGGTGCGCGTGGTGATTGTTTCCATCACAATCAAACCTCTTGATTCAGGCAGGCGCGAAGACTGTTTGGCTAGATTTGATTCCTACCGCACCATGTTATCGAGTGATTTTGCCGCGGGCAACGCGGTTCGTTCCTATAATAATGGTGGATTTTTGTTGTTTATTCGTGTGCGTTTTTGTTCTTCACTTAGTTTTGTCAGCGCTCGCAGCGTTCTGCCGGGCGGCATATAGGTGGTTTCAATGTTAAGTGGCCGCATGTACTTCACAGATGATACATAAAGTATTTAACTCAAGCGGACTTCATTGGTTGTGTTTCGCTGATCAACGAAGGACGGACGGACGTGGTCTTGTCTTCTGCAAGAAGAGTCGTACTTTCTTGGAGTGATGCTACGGTAGGTGGAGTTCACCCCATCTTACATTACTTTCCGGGGAAGGGGACACATTTTACGTCACAAATTACCTATTGGATGCGTCCTGTTTGACAACATGATCACCGACACAGGAGGACTCCTACCCGTTTCTCCCAGAAGCGTAAGATTTCACCCCCCCAAAATGTAAGATTTCACCCCAAAATCTCACCCCCAACAAGTGCACCCCCCTACCGTAGCACCCACCGTACGTAGCTCAGTCGTTAGTGTTAAGCTGGCCTTTCTCCCTTCTTCAGGCAACTCTGAAGTCAATTCTGTTGTAATTGACTGACTGAACGACTGACCGGCCAGGTCTCCTCTTGGGTCACGTAGTAGCTCGTTACACGCTCGCTCGTTCGTCAACTACTGTAGCGGGCTGTACTTCGAGGGTAGGACATGACCTCGTTTGGTTTTTCGTTATCGAATCTGTTTATTACTTCAACTAGCATCAATGGGATATCACCTTAGCAAAGGCTACATTCTCGCAACGTCTGTCAAGGACGACTCCCTCTTTTCTGATCTCCCACACTACTGACAGTTTTGCTAAACCACCCATGGGACACCCATGGGCGACCCATGAAGTGTCCACAGTGGGAAACTTCAACCTAGAACTTCGTCGCCGGCATATCAACCTACGCCCATGGGCATGCCCATGGGCGGCCCATGAAGTGCCCACCGTGGGCACTTCAAACTAGAACTTCGCCACCGGCATATCAACCTAGAAGTTAGCCACCTGCACATCAACCTAGAGCCACCAGCGCCAACCTAGCACGTATCGCGTGGGCTTGGGGTTAAGCTTAGGTTGTTCGTTACGGTTATTAGCCGATATAGTGCCCGTTCCAACACAGATAATCTATTGTTTAGGATTACTCTGGTTCGGTTGAAGGGCTCTCGTTGGCCGCCCATGGGCTTCCCATGGATTGCTTATGGGCCGCCCATGGGCTGCCCACGGGCTACCCATGGGAGTCCTATGGGTCGTTTGGGAAAACTGTAGAAAGTGTCGGAGACCCTCTTTTCACATTGATTGGTTGGTGTCGACGAAGGGATGTCTTCTTTCCAGCCGGTCGGGTTCCGGCTACCCTAAGAAGCCTTCTGGCCTAGTGGCAAAGTAGAGAGATCACCTTCGTAAAGGCTACAACTCCCAACGTCATTCGAGGGCGACCCCCTCTTTTCACAATATTTTATTAAAGACTTTACGAGTAATTGTTTTGTTTATTTTTTTTCGAGGTTCCCTGGGCTCGTCGTTGAGTCAACATTACGTCGTCAGCTGCGTGAACTTGGGACGCGTCACTGACTGAAGACAGCTGGCAACTGATCCACACCAACAGAAACAAAATACTGTACTTTCCTTTATCATATGCTGAGCCCACTCCGCAGTTCGCCGTGTACTATTGTACGTTTATCTACCCGGGGGGGGGCGTGCGGACCTTTCTGGCATTGGTCATTGGAGTATCGGCCCTTGAATCACAGGAAGAATCGTTTCAAGAACGGATATCAGCCTGAAGCGTGAGGGGAGAAGAAGGAAAGTGGGTCAATCTCTCCCTCTCTCTCTCTCTTTCGCGCGTGCGCGCTCGCGGTGTTCCCTGCGTGCGTGTGAACGGAATAATATGTCTGACGCACGCAACCAGTCAACCATGGGGCGTAATTCAGAAAGAGCAAAGACAACCACACGATTCGCCAGACGCCACGCCAGCAGGCAGAAGCAATATTTATTTCGGTCGATTTCGTGCAACAAATGGCTTCCCGTGTGCGTTGATTTACATAGCTTTTGAGCGCGTGTGAGCGGAAAGAATGTATTTTGTTCCCAAGCACCGGTCTCAAGCGTCTTCAACAACGCCCACGCCATTGATGGACAGGAAACCTTCAACTTACCATGTTCGCAAGCACCGGCCTCAAGAAAGAAAGGCAGTCTACATGTTTGAGCCCGCCACCGCCTTTGGTGTGCGGAAAACCTTCAACATATTGTGTTCCTAAGTTTCGGTCTCAAGGAGGTACATGTTTTTTTGTTTGTTATTTTTCGTACAAGCCCGTATCTACATACCCACAGATGAGTCCAGGACAAATACGTAGCTATAAATGAACGCATATATAGCAAAATACGGAGCGCTACCACCAGTGTTTCTACGTATGTATATCTTTACAAACGCCAACTTCTTTGATGGTGCTATCGCCGGAGGGGCGGCCAGCACGCGATTATTGAACACCGCTACAGTGTTGACGCCCCGGCGCGCGTCAGTGGTCTTCTTGTGTCCAGAATAGTGCAGCGGTGAACTCTAGGTGTGGAGCAATCTACGTGGAGGAGTCGGTGTAGAGGGTGTCAGCGGCACGGCATGGTCTGACAACACGGTCCCCCATCACGGACAGGGGCCGTTTACTTGTATGACAGATCTGACAGGCGACGTGTTCCGGACCGGATATACGACGTGGTCTACTTAAACACCACCACCGGCATCGACGGAGGTCGGTGTTTCGTTCCTTTCAGGCCGAACGTATCCTGGAGCGAACATATGCATGCGACGACGAGTGGTTCAACAATAACACCGCCGGCAGCAATTGCAGCATCACTAGCAGCGACAACGAGCAGCAGCAGCACATCATTCGTTCCCGAGGAGGCGAAAGGTATAGGTGTGTTTGCGTATTGTTGAGAAGCACGATATCCACGGAGCTACTCAGTCAGCGTCAGCAGCTCAGTGGATATTATCGTGTTTCTCCCAAAAAGGTAGTGGGTATCGTGCTTCTCAGAAAAAGCTTATGTCGGAGTTCGATTCTCACCCCCAAGGGGACTTTTCTTGGGTCATTTTTCTTGAGAAACAAGAGGAAGTGGTTTTTTCGCTGGCATATCTCTTTTCCGATACATGTACAAAATGATCTCCGGGCAAGACAGCGAGCGCTGAATACAGAGATGGCAACCCTGGGGGTGATCAGCGTTCGTGGCTTGACAGCTGTCCGGACTCCGGCTAAGCGTTTGTTGAGAAGCACCATATCCCCTGAGCTACTCTTCTCAATACGTATCACTGCGTGAATGTTTGCACGTGTGTAGTCACCACCAAGCCAGCTTACGTACAGGAAAAGGAGAGAGTTTAAGCGATGCAACACCACCACGCCCATCCATGTATGTCCCTGTGGTACATTCATCTAGATAGGTGGCTTCCTGCACGATATCGTTTTTTGGGAATCGATTTCGTACGTACGTTTACGCGGATAGGTGACACTCGCCCAGCCCTTCCAGTTTGGTCT